CCTCATGAACATGAACTCACTGCCCACTAAGGTTCCTATCTAATCTTTCCAGTTGCTGCTGTCACTTTGATCCCATATAGACAGTTCTTAAGTGTATGATGCCCAAGGCAGACATTATTAATTAAACTATTGTCCTGTTTTAAGGAGACTAAAGGTGATATTTTTGGTTTAAAGTTTAAAGATTATGTCAGGGCAGTAGTTTCAGGGGTTCTTCCACACTCTGTGGCTCTAGAGTCTGGAGTTCATGAGCATATTTGAAATTCTTTTCTGCATTTTCCCCTCTCTTGATCAGGATTCTTCTATAGAATCTTTGATCAAAACCATTAGGTATTTATTAGGGATTTCAAAGCAGGTTAAAAGAGTTCTGGATTTGAAAGTCTCTCTGTGTATTGGGGTGAGCTCCTGGACAGCTAATCTCTCTTTGCAATAACTTGGCAAATATTTGTACTTTTTTGAGGAAATGAAGCAAGTGCTCTGAGAGGGGAAAAGGAAAGGATCTGTTTGAAGAGGAAATTTGACATTGGAAGGCATGAATAAGGGGGTGTGATGTATTGTTCAACGACATCCTATATTTCTAGGTATCAAAATGTGGAAGGGTGTGTAGGAGAAAACAAGGAGTGAGAATTTGTAGGAGGAAGGTTACCTGGTCAAGAGGGTGCAGTGGAACACTGGGTATGAGGAAAGAGACTGGCTGTCATTATGTGGTGTGCACTGAGATAATAATACCAGGTGACTGAGTTGAATTTGTGCTGTGTAGTTGTTAGATTGTTGGGTAAATCTGGTATGGTGGCTAGTATTTTAAAACCTTGGTTACCACTAAAACAACGTTTTTCCCGCTGCCATTAAAAAAAAAAAAGATGGTAGGTTTAAGTCTGTATGGAAGCTATTTTTTAAAATGTGTTTAGCTTTATAAAAGGGAAGGAGCTCTGGTGGCTTAGTGCCTAAAGCATCTGACTGCTAAGCAGAAGGTTGGCAGTTCAAACTCTCCAGCCACTCCGCGGAAGGAAGACTAGGCAATTTACTTCCATAAAGATGACCGCCTCGGGAACCCAAAAGGGGTTGCTATGAGTCAGAATTGACTCGATGGCAGTGAATTTGGTTGTTTTTTTTAATATATATATAAAAGGGACTTAATTTAAAAGTATTTTATTGTATTATAATGTAGTGACAAATTACATATGTATGGCTTGAAAGAAAAAGTGAACACATCCACATACCCACCACCCAGATCAAGAACTAGAATATTACTAGCATCCCAGAAGTTTCTCTGTATCTCTTCCTTCTCCCTAGAGGGGAACCATCAAGATTTCTAAAAGTATATATAAGTTTTGCCTGTTTTCCTTTCGAAAATTTAATATTTACATGTATTCACTATTTTTACATCTCTTCCTCTTTGTATAATACACGTTCTTTTCTTGGCTGAATCTTTTGGAAATAAGTTGCAGATGTGACATTGCACCTTTAAACACTTCAGCAGGAATCTCCTAAAAATGCGTTGATTTCTTTAGTGGAATTGTAAGCGTTTTTCAGAATGAAAGTGTGATGTTACTTATATAAACCTATACACATTCTCCTACATTTTTATGTGTTGAAATGATGAACTGCAACGGCTTGTTCACAGTTAACTGAAATTTTAAAACTTCCGATCACTTTAAGAAAAAACTGTATGAAAATAAGCACTAGTGTAGTGCATATATAGTAATATGAAACATGCAACACTATTTTATACTCTGCTGTTAATAATAGTCTTGGTGGTTTTTACAGGAAGATCTTGACCACAGATAATCTGATTTTAATTATTTCTCAGATTTAGTATAGGTCTTAGGTAACTATGCCATATTTTATTAATTCATTCTTTCTCTCTGATTCTGTTTTGGGCCTGTCGTTTAGGGCTCAGTAAAGAGACAAGCACTATATGCCTGTAGTACCTGCACCCCAGAGGGAGAAGAACCAGCAGGAATTTGCCTAGCTTGCAGTTATGAATGCCATGGAAGTCATAAACTATTCGAGCTATATACAAAAAGGTAAAGCCAGCCAGAGATGTTGCTGGATGCTTCTTTCCCAGCTGCACTTTTTTTCTTAATCTTATTTTACCATTAAAAGCAGTTGTGTAGTGATGAAATTTAATGTAATTATTTTATATAAAGTAATTGGAGAGGGTAATTTTTCCAGAGGACCTTTCAAGATACAATTACAGTACAAATCCAAATTACCCATTCTTATCTGCCATTGTTTTACACATACACACATATTTGCATATATATGGTTATTTACATAAGAAGTCCTGGTGGTACAGTGGTTAAGCACTTGGCTGCTAACCAAAAGGTTGGCAGTTCAAATCCTCCAGGCGCTGTATGGGAGAAAGATTTACACCCTTCAAAACCCATTAGACAGTTCTACTCTGTCTTACCTGGTTGCTGTGAGTCAGAATCAATTTGAGAGCAATGAGTTTGGGTTTTTGGTTTATATATATAGGAGGACGTTGAA